TGTTCGTTTCGGAGCCATCAGCACTAGACGCACGTTTCTCAGAGCAATCGCAATCAGTTTCAATCTCAAATTCTGTGAAATTAATATAATCTCACGGGCCGTAACTTCTTGTGCGGATTGATTAACTCACACTCAGTTAATCATTAAACTCTCGCGTTTAATATAAACTACGATAGTGTGGACAATCAAAATCAGTGCAAACAGACATTTTGTAAACTTAGTGCAAAATCTAAACTCATCGTTTAAAGTAAGATCATTTATTGTATCACCATTTGTAAGGCGAGAATTTTATTTATAAATTAAACGCGCTTTAAACGTCCAATGCCTCCCTTGGTTTTGCAGAAACATCGTTATCCGAACCAGATCACAAGATCCTTATATCTCACACTCATTCCCATACACCACCCAAAAAATCAAATATTGGCAAAACATCCAGACATGTCCGTAAAGTGTCAGCCAGTAGAGCTGCTGAATGGGGGGAGGGTAGGGCAGGGGCGAGAGGGTGGGGTTGACGAGGTACAAACAGCGTGCCGGAGGCACGCCGAGTGCAGCTCGTATTAACATATTAAACACTCTTATCATTAAACTAACGCATTAAAGTAACGCGTTTCCAGTTCAAGACGACGCAGTAAGCAGCATCAACAGCGAAAAAATGAAATACCGTTTGCCAAACACGACGACTACTTTATACTATGACTTGAAATTTGACCCAGACATCATGGACCCCTTTAAATTCGACGACGAAGCTGTTATAAAATGAAAGGTCCTCGAGCCAACGGCAGACGTTAAACTTCATTTGCAGCGTTTGAATTTGAATGAGAGCTCCATAGAATTGACACCGGAAAGTGAGAAACGTTTAAGCCGCAATGGTGCAACGAAAATAACGAAACGGACATCGTGACGATTCATTTCGATAAGCCTCTGAAAGTCGGGATATACACTTCGAGCATAAAATTTTGTGGGAATGAGAGCACAGAGATGTTCGGATTCTTCAAGGATAGGTATAGGAATGAACGGGGAGAAAAAGTGTAGGTTTCACATTAATTGAGATATTTGCTTGCTCAAATAAAATAGTATTTGTTTTAAACATTCATTCTTTGAATACGATTAACGTTTTAATGCCTGAGATACAGACAGGAGCTTGATGCTCAGTGGAATAAATGCAACAGGGTAAGCTGTCGTTAACGTGAGTTTTAATATAAGAGAACAGAGAACGTGTTGAACGTCTTGGGTACAGGAGATCAATAACGTAGGAGAAGCGGTATAACAAACAATAAAAGGTCGTTACTAGACGATAGCTATTAAACAAAAGGGTGCTGTCGTCAGGGTGCTGTCTTCTATAGGGTGGCTGTAGGGTTCTACAGTGGGACACGTTAAAACGAACTGTTCCAACAAGGATAATAATAAGTGAACACTTTCTGAAACAGAATAGTTGCCTTACAAACGATTGAATTTTCTTAAAAAGATAAAAGGGTTAATTTACCAAAAGTTGAATCTAAGTATCTTTCATCTGCGTGTGAGAACTGCGTCCGGAATCCTATTTTTCCTCTTTAAATACTAAATGACGTTGTATAAATTATCATTGATAAATCCAAACAACGTCTCAATAGCCAGGAGGTACAATATGTAAAAATTAGAGATCAGAAGAAATCTATTTATTTCACATATAATGTTAGCCGATTGCGATATTTATTACATTAAATGACACTATGAAAATTCGTACAAAAGAAGGAACTTTTTGTGTTCTGTCGATTTCAACACAAAATGTATTACGTGCTCCATACTCAATTCATCGAATGCGTCTGATAAAATAAATGGCTATCAGTGAATTTCTAAAAAACAATTCACTAAACGAAAGCATAATTTTACTACATAACCGGTATGGGGACAATGTAATAATACCGATCGCGACGACATCAATCGCGACAACGTCGACTGATGAGATTACGAAATTCAAGCATACTTCGATAAGAGCTCCACCGTAGCCACCTTATAAAGCAGGGACACTTGTAATGGTGTGGTCTATCTTACCGCGCTCGTCGACGTGTAAATACACTCCTGCTACGGTAGCCGAATCTCATCGTTTGCTTGTTCGCAAAGTACGCTATGAAGTTAATTATACATCGAACGATTTCAAAAGATAATATAATAGAACGAAAACGAGATTGAATTCGTAAACGAGTGATTCTAAAACCAGTGCTATCTGCTAGTTAAGATTATTGTTTTCTAACTCTGCATTGATAAATACTTGCAAATTATACATATATAACAGTTAACGAGTTAAAAGTCAGAAATTTATCGTATTGCGCGAACGGTTCCTCCTTTGTATTTACCCATTATAAATATATATACGCAACGCGACGACTGATGATATGTATGTACTGCTAAAAGTAAGTTAGTAAATATCGCGTGTTCGACGGTCCGAGGTGTTAGAAGTTGAGGCGTTCTCGGCAGTAATACTATTTCATTAATCAGCAATTATAAACAAGGAAACGGAGATGGATGCTGGATATTAATTGCAGCCAGTGGATCTAAAATGATGAGAACTTTCGTAACGTTTCTCCTCGTCCTGGGGATCTGCCGGGTGTGTTCCTCGTTCGAAAATATCAACGACGACGAAGTGAAATTGAAAAATATCCTGCCGTCCGGCGTAGTGATACCGATCGCATACAAATTACACCTCAAACCTGATTTGGTGAAATTTACATTTGACGGTGAAACGGAGATCACATTAATAGCGTTGATCACGGACGTTGCCTTGACGCTGAACTCAAAATTCTTAACAGTCCACGATTTAAAGTTTGTGGATTTGAATACAACAAATACTTTGGAGAGTAAGTATATAGAGGACGAAGAGCAGGAGACCCTGAACGTCACAATAAAACCCCACTTTGAAAAGGATCATCACTACTCGCTCCAGATAAAATACGCTGCAATTTTGCGCAACGATGGCAAAGGATTTTATATGAGCATGATGCGAACGAACGGAAGCACGTAAGGCTGCTTTACTATTATTATCAATATTATCATTATTATTGTTTCTGTTATTATTAATGAGCATAAGTTCTTTGGAATATACAAGG